GCCTCTGGCCGGGCGTTGCGCGTGCTGCCCCTCCCCAGCCTTGACCAACTTTGCAGAGCGCTCTCTGGTCGAGCGGTCGCGGCGCCGCGCTCACCCCGCCCAGACCCTGCCTGGGACCCAGCGCAGCATCCCGCTCTCGAGCCCTCAGGTGCGGGGCACCGTGGATTCTTCCTCCCGCCACATGCCGGGCTGGATTAGAACTCCGCACGGGGGGTGGGGTGCGTTGTGGGTTCCTCAGGGCAGGCAGAGACAGACCAGACGTTACCGGGGACTCGAAGTTACTTCTAGGAGTCTGTCCTCCCTGTGCGTAAAGCAGGCCCAAGACCCCGTACCCCAAATCCTTGAGGCCTGATATATTTTGGAATTTAGAGTTTTTCTGATTTGAGGATCTATCTGTGGTGTTTGGAACGGTGGTGCCTGAGCAAACTCACCTAGGACCGTCTGGGATAAAGAAAGACACCTAATAACTTTTCGTCACGTCAAACCAGGGACAAAAAAACTTTCACTTTTGGGGTTCTTGACTGAAATATGGGTAAGACAGTGCAGACCTGCGCGCACCTTCTAGGGCTCTAGTGAGGTTGAAATGAGGTAATGCCCCTGCTAGGGGCTCAGTAAATGTGATTCTTAGTGCATGATGATTCATTCTGGGGACGCAGAAGTTAAGGCTGCTGCCGAACAGGTCCAAAGAGTCTGCAAGTAGTCCTCATCAAATGGATAAGTGGTGCCACTGAGGCCACCAGGGCAGAAGGTACTCACCCAGTGAGGTGCAGCAGATGCCTGGTCATGGACCATGTTGAGTGTTTGTCTTAGCAGACGATGGGTAGGTGTTGTGGAGTGCAGGACTGGCCATTCTTCCCTGCAGTGACTTTCTCAGGGGCAGCAACAGGTTCTGCATTTGTGCCAAAGAGGATGTGGGCATTTGGGTGCAAGGCTAGACCTCAACAGCCAGTTCCAGCCTTGTTCTGGGTGCCTGGATCCAAAGGGTTCTTAGAGAGTTAATCCTCCTTTCTTATGGGGCGCTTAGGAAAAATGAAGCTTCATGGGTGCAGTGGCTGGCCTTATAGGTTGGAGGCAGAAGCCAGGTCTCCCAGTGGTTGAACAGAGGCAAGGTGGTTGTGTGTGTGTGTCTGTCTCCATCCATGTCCATGTGCTCTTGGCTCGGGGCATGGGTGGCTTTCTTCCTGGGCACTATGTGTCTTTTGGGCAGCACTCTTGGCCTGAAAGGTAGCTTCATGGATGGAAGGGCCAGATTCCCCAGCCAGCCTCCCTTGATTGCTGTTAGGTTTGACTGTTGACTTTGCCTTACTCAATGCTGAGGCCCTGGAACCCTCATAGTAGCCAGCTCCCCTGGATGTTCCTAATACCCCTGTTGACAGTTTGGAGTGGTGCCCTTTTGAGTGAATTTGAGTTCGTTTCCTTGGAGAAAGCCTATGTGTGAGGTCTCCTGTGTGCCTGGTTCTGTGGGAGGCCCTGAGGGTCTGGCTGTGAGTAGAAACCCAACAGTGACTGTACTAAAGGGCTTTGGAGGCTGCTGGTCAGTAAAGGAACAAGTGTGCAAATGTCAGACATGATGAGCCATGGCCAGTCTCTGCCCAGGAGATGTCTTGTGGCTCTGGAGCCTCTTATTCTGTGTGACCTTGGGCAGGTTACTGAATGTCTCAGAGCCACAGTTTCCTCATCTCTGAAATGGGAAGAGATAAGAGCAAGAGGTTGCTTGAGATCTGGGCTCAGGGCCTTGCACAAAGCTCAACCTCATAAAATCACTGATAACCAGCTGTCTAACTGATGAAAATGGTGATTTGTTACCTAGCAGTAAGCACTTGATCAGGATTAACTGCCTGCTTTTTGTCATCACCAAAGTAGCCATCAGCACTGTGAGAGGGTAGGAGGTTCTTGAAACTAGATGGGGTGCTCTGTATTGTTTTCCTCACAGATACCTAAGTACATGGTCTTTATCTTGTGCTGAAAACCCCCCATGACTTTTGTTGTCCTTTGGATGCAGTGCATCGCCTCTGTGTTCCCTGTCTGGTGGTGTGCATGCCAGCCCCTTGGGCTCCTTCTTTTTTCTTGTATGCTCTGCACCCTGGAGGGACTCTGCTGCCATGATGCTGTTCCAGTGCTCTACAGCCCCTGCCTAGAGATCCCCTCGGAGGCTTTTCCTAACCCCAGTTGTGCAGGCTCTCCACCCTGTTTTCTCATTCAGTACTGTGCACATCCACTTGTTTGTTATCTGTGTCACCAACTAGACTGGTAACTCATGTGGGTGGAGATGGGTGCAGAACCTGTTTCTGGGTTGACTGCCATGCACCCAGCGCCTACTGCCTCGCCTGGCCCAGAGGAAGCTCTCAGTAAGCACTGGTCTAATAGAGCAATGCAGTGCTGCCCAGTGGAACTGACCACCTCCGCTGGTGTGGGTGTTCCATTTAACTATTGCTGTGAAATGAGTCACCTGGAAACTCAGTTTTTCGAAACAATGATCATTTTATTATTATCTTTAATCATTCTGAGGGTTGACTGGGCTCAGCTAGGCAGTTTTCACTTAGTCATGTGGTTGCAGTTGGGTGGTGGCTGGGGCTGGAGGAAAGCTTCCTTGTTCAGATGTGGCTGCTGGTGCAGGCCACCCACATGTGGCCTGTCTGTGTGGCTTGGGCTTCCTCACAGCATGGCAGCTGTGTTCCAACAGTGACTGT